GCCGCCCCCACCAGTTAAAAATCTGTTGTGATTATCAGACTACAAGCCTTGCAGACTTATAGAACAGTTACATGTTGTGTCGATCAGAAAAGTTGAAAGAATTTTCGAAAATAGGACATATCTTGAATTTCTTCCGAAGACAGGTCGTTAAATAATTGCTCAACTCGTGTGAAATATCTGAAACTTATATTTGTCGTGATAATCTTAATAAGTTTAGTTTTTCCTGAATGCGAGTAGATTTGATTCAAAAGATGTTAATCTTAGATTTATCTATGTGTGAACGTGCATCCGAGAATGGGGTATTTAGATCATAGCTCTCCTGAATGGGTCTTTTTCTTCACTCCGTTATCAAGCTGATCGAGAGTTTTCGGAGCATAGCTTGAGCTGTAGCAGATCGGATGCACTTAACTTTACTATTGCCATATAGTATTAGTGAGTACTACTTAAATGCCGTTTTCTTGGTGATACTTCGAAGCATGTTTTCTATTTATGCTCGATTATCAATCGTGTTTTCCATGAAAATCCTTTCAAAGCTATAAAATGTGAAGTCTCTCCGCTAGATAGTTTAGAATAGGTACGTTCTACATGACTAAATCCTTTCAGTAGAGGGTCAGCGGCGCTTATGCCGCGTTACTTGTTATTACTAGTCAATGGCTGATTGATATTGAATTTTTGTAGGACACGATTAAAATGTTTATCCATAAAAACACATAGATATTTGTTTAATAATAAAGCCATTCTTAAATCTTCACGTTCATTTAAAACTGCTTTGAATGTTGAATAATATCTAATCGCTCGAAGTAACATAGCGAATGGAATATTCTTCTTCATATGCATATAGGATGAACCCATAGCACCACCACGAATTCGATGATAATATCGACCGTCTTAGGAAAAATAATTGTTTTTTTTACAATGAATCGACTTAGTCTAATTATTGTTTCAATTTTTAAACCACCAATTTGTTTTCTTTTTAGATAATCTAACATTCTTTTTATTTTCAAATACATCTTCTGTTTGTGGTATCATTGTATAAAGATCTACCACATCTATAGTACATAATAAAGTTTCTTGACATAAATTATGTGTCGATCATTCATATAGGGTGTGGGTGTTTGTGTCGGTGTGAACTATAGAAAAACGAGCCACACCCACACCCTCGGGATCTCTTATACTGATACTACTGCCACTTGATGAGATTATGTCAGCAATAAATGAAATATCTGGTATTGTGGCAGCTATATCACACCCAAACCCACTCCTTCGCCAGTGGTGAAGCTCAAAACTCCACCGACACCCTCGTTTTTCAGTCTTTTATTTTATTGGTAAGAAAGCGTTTTCAAAAGTATATTGAGTTTAGACGAAATGTTTTAATTCAAGCATAGGTGGTTAACAAGTATTGGAGAGAAGATTGAACTTTACGATGACCTCCGACGCTGAAGTATAGAGTGACCCACCCGAATCAAAACGAACGCCATAGAAATGACTTAGCGGATTGTTGGGTAATGTTGTAATGCCATTAATCGCTACTGTGAAAGTGGTTCCGATGGAGCTCCATTTTGAAATCTGCGAATAAACTGCCGGACTATAACCATTTCCAGTAAACTGGGTCGTGTATATTTGACCAAACTGATCGACTCCCATCGTATAACCGTTGTTAACAATAGGAACGACGGTCGTACCGATAACAGCACCGGCGTTGAATCGTACAACGCGGCTGGGTCCATACCTTCAGTAGAAAAATCACAATAAATATATATATAACTGATATTAGCTGAACAAGAGTGTCAAATATGTGTTGTCATATAATACTTTCTGTGAGAGATGAGGATGAGCAGTTGTTTTTCCTCATTTCTTTTGTATCTTCATTAGCTTTCTAAATGAACCTCGAAAAAAGTTTTTCTGTTTTTAAAATTCTCTGGATAGTTTACTGATGCAAAAAATACTTGTCGCTAATTATCCAGCAGAACAAAATTAATATTATCAAATCTTTTAGAAATCTTCCGTCGACTAGAAAAACACATTATGCAGAACAGAGCTCCGCGTGGGATGGGGCAATCCCATCCCATCCCATCCCATACGTCCCATGGGATGCAACTTTTTAAATAAAAGCTCATGGGATGGGACGGGACGGAAATTTTTTGAGAGTCGTCCCATCCCATGGGACAAAAATTTCTTCGTCCCACCCATCGTCCCATGGGACGAAGAAATATTATATGAATCTATTCATTTTTACTAAAAATAGTATAGTCGTTTCAATATAGATGTCGTACCCAACTGTGTGAGAAAAATAGTTAAAAATGTAAACTATACGTGGTCAACTAGTGCAGCTATTTCGATTCAATGTACAACAAAATATAATAATGAACTTACGCATAGAGAAAAAAAATGCGATTTGATCTATTGAAACAGTAACAATTGATTTAGTTATTGTGGCTTATAACTGGTGGAATGTCTTTGAATAATTCGTTCCATGGAAAATATGAAAGTTGTACAATGATTTAACACTGAAACTTTATACTTTTATTTATTTTTTCCAGTTGCTTTTGTATTTAATGAAATATTTTCCTTTCTCGTTTACTAGTTCTTTTCTCTATTTTTTAAAATGCTGTATTTATAACTAGGATGATGTCATTCATTATTGTAATATGCAAAAAGAACAGAAATTCGAACTATATTATAATTTGTAGTCTCACTCGGTCGATGATAATCAAAAAAATTTGACACCTTAAAAAACATTTGACATTTCAGACGTCCCATGGGATGGGACGGTATGGGATGGAATGGGATGGGATGGGATGGGACGGGATGGGATGGGACAGGACGAAAAATGTTTCATCCCATCCCATCCCATGGCGGGACAACTTTTTTTTTATTTGTCCCATCCCATGGGATGATTTTTTGCGTCCCATCCCACCCCACGCGGAGCTCTGATGCAGAAATAAAAAAGAGTTGTAGAGGAAGACCGGAAGGCTGATAATGTTATCTTTTTTTCCCAACTGAATTGAATCCGGTATTCAAAACTGAAAATGGTGCTATTGATATTGGTTGAATTTTTATTCTTCCATTTCTGCTTTCTCTCTCTCTAGGTACAAGAAGTGTTACTCTTTATCAGGAACGAATACACAACAGAAGCAGCTGCTCAGAATGGCTAATTGCTGTCGAAAATCATTGCACTGATTTTCAAACTCATAATTTTGAGTTCAAGCAATATTTTGACGAACGAGACAAAAGTAATGGCAAAAAGGCCGATCCTTATTTCTTTTCGATAGAAAAGGAATGAAACAACGTTTTCTTTTGACCAAAAATACAGTTTTTCTCATACTTCAAGCACCATATAATTTACTTTTATAGCATTCGTAAAATAAAGAGTACGACAGAAAAGTGAAGTATTCTTAAGAGAACATCGGCACCCTTCCCGAGATTCTGAAAAATGACGCAAAATATTGATATCTCTATTTCTTCATTAAATACGCTTCTAAGAGAATTTTTTAAGAGTTGATAGGACACATTGTCCTTCTGGAAACGGTTTTTGCTTTGCATTTGTCACAAATGCATAAATGAAATGAGACAACAAAAAGGAGAAATACTAGTGCAATAAATTGATAGTTTCTCTATAAGTTCTTCAAACACATTTTGTTGCAAAACAGTTAATTCAGTTGTTTTGAATTCATTAAAAAAATCTGGTAAAACTTTGGTTCATTTAAGTTTTATGAACTTGCTAAAAACACCATGTACAACGACGGTTAAGTATAATCAACTGCCCTCGACAATGTGTTTTGGCAAATTCAAGTGAAAACTACAGATTTATTCTCTACGTCTTTTTTCTTTTTTTCTCGTGTTCTTTCGCTTAATAATGCATGGTAAAGATGAAGATTGCAATGTTCGAAAGAATAGAAACTTTCCTATCAATTACAAATGGAAAGCACTGATTTTTTTATTTCTGATGCAGAAATCAGGTTTCCCCGTGGCTAATTGATTAAAAATATGTTAGTTTCAGAGCCGATGTATTGAAGAGATATAAATATCAAGATTTTGTACAGTTCTTTTACAAAAAAATATGCGAATTCTTCTATTTTCCTTTGCATTGTTTCGTTTATCATCGTGCTAGAAAAATAAGTTATACATCATTAGAAAGGGAGAGAAAGACTTTTGTCTTTTGATGAAAAACGGTTTTTTTCAGCATCTTTCCATCGAATATTAGTAAGGTCGATATATGTGTCATTACAGTTGCGTTATTCGTTATGTAGCATAATCTGTTTGATAAACTTATTAAAATATTGTCACTAGTAGAAGATCACTTTTTGATAAAAAAATAGTTTACTTTTTTTTAAATGTAGAGTGGGACATCATTTCTTTCACAAATGAATCACGTGACCTTCTATATCATTATCTCCTTGACTGTGGAGTGATATATTACTCAGAATTGTCCAACATAAGATATAAAGTTCATTTAGCGTACGAAGAGTCAAAAGTCATGATTTTATCAGCAGTGGACAATGAATCGATCGATGAGACAGATGTCTCTTCCAGATGGAAAAATGCCATTTAGGAAAATTGAATTTTGTTTCTGTTCTTAAGTATACGATTAAATAGCATACCCATAACCACACTCATATATATATGCAGGGTATTACAAAACCTTTATCCCCCTCCAGTGCGACCCTAAAGTCAAATGATTTCACTAAGTATTTATATCAAATGGAAACTCGTAAAAAACTGAATTGATGAGTACAATTATACCAAACGTTGTCTATTACATTATTAAAAAATCTTGCACTGTATATCAAGAAGTCATAGATTCTACAATGTAACACATATGCAAGAACTATCATACCCCTTTCTCCTCATATACCTTACTTGTTAATGCATTATAGCCTATGTAGCTTTGAAGTGGTATTTAATGTGAATTCTTTTAGAGTAGTGCATCACCTATTCTATGTACTTCTCGTTCGCTATCATTACGTGCGACTGTCATGAAGCACGTATGCGAACTGGATAATGTGTTTATTCTCGAATGAAAAAGACCCACTACTCATGATTAATAATGAAGAGGAGAAATAGAGGAAAGGATTAGAAGAAGATGATGCATGCATATGTGCACGTACAGATAAGAAAATGATGGAGAAAAAAGTTAAAAGAGATATTATTATGATGTTATCAGAACTAATCTTGAGAGTACGTTCAAGGATCTTGAAGATGACACAGATCTATTTATTAATTTGCTGCGTTCTATGAGAAACAGATTTGGTGCTCTCGAAGCTGCCATAGGAAGTCATGCCAAGTTCTAAAATTTTGTCATAAAAACTTGCTCTTAAGCAATTTATATCTCCAATAAATTGGCAACTATATAAGTCATAATTCAAGTCGGTGAGCGGTATGGTAATTTTTTCATATCTCTGACAATATAGAATCTATGACATTTTGATATACAGTGCAAGATTTTTTTAATTAGTATAATAGACAATGTTTGATTTAATTGTACTCATTGATACAGTTTTTTACGAGCTTCAATTTGGTATAAAATACTTAGTGAAATCATTTTACCTTAAGGTCACACTGGGAAAGTGGCGTAAAAGTTGTATAACACCCTGTATATGCATATCGCATCCATAACTGAAAACAACTACACATGAATTAAATATCTACGGGAATTCTCGTACTATTTATTAGAAAATCTGTTCACCCTTTCAAAATTACTGTTCCTTATATCAACTTTCCATCACTGTAATTGAATCTATTTATATAAAAGCTCTTATATCTATAAATAATAAATCGTCTTCAGAAATATTTAATTTATTTATTTAGCAGCATTTTCTTACACAAGGGACTATTATTCTCATCGCACTTCATTTTTCCTTTACCATGCAAGAATGATCAGCAAGAATAGGTTTTAAGTAGTCACCGGTGTCATTTTTCGCATTGAGATACAACCATGCGTGGATAAATGGTCATTTCATTATCCTATATTTTGCATGGATAGGGGTATTTTTTGCTTAGACTCCATTCTTCTCCTTGTTTTGATCATTTCTGACACATGAATCTAGTGTTCAACTGTCGGATCTATAAAAGTTCGTACGGTCTTTTACTTTTAAGAAAAAGTTGATTATAATATGCACAAATTGGTTATCTTTTGAGTTGACTACAAAAATAAAATGAGAATTCAAGTTAACCATTTTAACACGCAGGCTGCTCTATAGTTTTTGGGGTTTACTACCACATGAGAGAAACGTGTATTTTAGCAAGTTTGAACATAAGGAGGAGTGTTTTTTACGCTCAGACAACGCTAAGAAATGACTCTTATTTTCGAAAAAACCAGTTGGCGCGATTCATTGGCATTAAATTCACTATATCAGCTAAAAAAGCATAAACGCACATATTTTGGCACGTAGAACTGCGTTTTTTAATCGATTTTACTTGGCTGAGTGTCTTTGAGATATTCTGTTTCTTGATGTCGCTGGGCTCCCTTCTTCATATCGGCAGGCTTTCACAAAACATATCTATTAACCTTGAGCTTTCGTTTCTAAATCGAGGTAGCAACTGTAATCAGAACGAAAAGTAAAGAAAACTCAGAAACAAGTTTTTCGTTTTTGAAACCAGAACTCCATTGTTTACGAACCCACTTTTCATCATTTCTAGTTTTGATAAGCACTAATCCAATTTCTCTCATGACTCAAAATTGATTTCAACCACTTCTAAAATGTTAAGATAATTCTAGGGCGAGAAAGCTCATTTATGGAATGTGATCCGTTCATTGGTGTCGACAAAATCAATGAAACAAGCCTCATTTGTCGGCTAGAATGTTGTTCCATCATGTAATTTGGTTTGCTATGATGAGAAACGATATAATTTTGCCTAAAACAATCAGCAACATCGTGAATACTCTCTTGTGCTGGACAGACTGATTCTTACGATCATTAGTCATCTGGTTTCCTTATTGATTCAAATTATACGGAGTCTTTACTACTGATCCGTACCGTATGATTCTATGAAATTCATATTGATGCGGTGGCATCGTAGTTTAGAAGAAGAATTGTATTCATAGTGATTCCAGAGACATTAGAAGAAATGGAATCATCCGAAATCAGTGGAATCACAGGATCAACTTTCCGTCGCTGTTCCCCCACTGCATTCAATCAAATTTTGCGCCACTGCAAATTTTGAAGATGAGTAAAACTCGTTGAAAAACGAGAATATGAAAAATAAAAATTCCCTTCTGCTATCTCTTAGTTACAAATATTTTCTAACATCTTTGATTGTCTAGGTACTTTTCGCTATCATTCCATTGCTGCTATTCTAACCTCACTAAGATCTGTTTTCAGTTCGTTTTTTTCTAATTATCATTCGATTTGTTTCGATTTTCTTCTCGCATTCATTTTCCTGTTGCTCGACATCCAAATGCACGACCATTTACTGGAATTCGCTTTCAAGCCACAAAGACGATTCTTCCTCTCTCACACCAACGCTCGATGATATTTTTTCAACTAATTTTATTTCAGTATTTCTCTTCGAACCATCGAAGGTATAATGAAACAGAAACTGAAATGAAATACAACAATCGGTATTGGCTCGAGTTCGACTTCTCTTTGCTTTCTTGAAGCCAGTTCACGTGTGAGTGGTATACACTCTAAAAAAATTGGTTTAATACGTAACCTGTGCCCAGAATAAGAACCTTTCTGGTTTGGTAACAATTTTCAGCACTTCAAAGGTTTTTTATCCTGGGCATAGGTTCGGTAATAAACCGATTTTTTTAGTGTAGGTATGAGCGCCACTTTAGATGTATATTCGTATCCACATATTTACCGTCCAATACATCTACATCCACACTCACAACTACAGGTACCATGAAGATCATAAATATGAGAAAACAAGATTTTCAAGGGGCTTGGTTTAAAATTGACTTTTCCTCAAATTTATTCTTGTCACGGGCAATTTTTTGAAAAATGAGATTTGTGCTAAAATGCAAAACAATTTTTTGATGATGCTTTATAAAAAAAAAGCTTTGTCAGATGTTGTAGATCGAAATTCAAAAATTTTAATAAAGCTATTTTCTCTAAAGCATGCAGTGTCATAAACGGAATGTTTTTGGTATGACTAATTCACGCGGCATCGTTTGATCAGATTCACATACAACTTTCCTGAGAACACCTAACGTAAAACAAATCAAGCAATTGGTCATATCATCCTTAATTTTGAGTGAAGTTTAAACACATTTTTCTCGGTCAACTTCTTTAAGTGGTTTAGTCTTGGGTAAATCTTTTCAATGAAATATTTCTATCAAGGTTTGCAGTAGATACAAATCCATTTCTAACTGAATAAATATCAAGTCTGTAAAGCGATTTTTTGTCACAAGCTACTGAAAAGACAATCGATTCATAAATTTTGTCTCATGCCTTATCTGCGCCTTGCTTTGCTATTATTTACATTCATAGATGAGACTATATCTATGACAATTCAACTTTTATTTTTGACAATATTGGTTGTCTGATACTTAAAGAAATGCAGGCCTTACGAGTGGTCGAACTTCAGGTGCATACATCTCAAGGGAAAAAGCAGACTTCTGTTCTCTTTGGTATTTCTCAGCACTTCTATACCTATGAAATACAGAAATTTGCCTTTTCCCCTTTAATACATTTACAGGCAAAACATTTTTGCATGTAAATCATTGTTCTCAGAATTTCAACAATGTCTATGAAATTGTGATAGCTTTTTTCCTACAAGATTCTTCGAGGACATGTGGCAAATGGAACTTCTACTTGCCCACTAAAATGCATTCTAATATGGTGAAATTTCTTTAAATATCACGCAACAATATCCTTTCTTTTTTAATGTACCTATAACTACTTAAGTATAAACGTGCAGGTTATTCGGTGTCCTGAAATTAGCTTTTCTCATAAACTACATGGTTCCTATAAGTTTTCTTGTTCTTTTCTTACGAGGTAGCGTATTGAGATTGGATGAAGTTGTCAAAGACATACACGTTGTTGTTGGCGTCGACAGAGATAGACCACGGTTTGGTTAGCTGATTTGGGGAAGATCCGAAGACGGCATTCGTTCCAAAAACATAATTTACTACTTTGGAGCTTACATTGAACAATACCACACGATTATTGTAAGTATCCGAAACGTAAAGTTGTCCTTGTTTATCAACATTAATACCCCCACATCCACAGAGAGAAGTCAGTGTATTGTTGCATCCTGTACCGCCAAGTAATGTTGTGCCAGTCGTGTTGCCTGCAACATATTGTTGGACACGCCCTTGAGTAGAACCATTTAGGCCCTAGTGTTGCAATTAATAGAATCTATTTGAAATGATATATCACTTACATTCCGTATTTCACAGGAATAAATTGTTCCAGCTGCGTCGACGTAGATGGCCATGGGCATATAGGGCATGGAATTACCCACTAATATCGGATTTATATTACCGACAAAAAATTTCATAATTGCCATGTTGGCATAAGACGAGGCGTAGACGTTTCTATTGGCATCAACAAAGATATCGGTGATGCTTCCATAATTAACGGCACTGTATCCACCACCGACAACTGTGTATGTATTATTCCATGTTGCATTTGGACAGATACGAGTTGTCATAAGAGCCGTAGTTGTAGCTAAGAAAACATAATAGATTGCTTTATCATTTTCTTTGTTAGACAAACTTACATGTTGGTACAGATGTACTCATCGTTTGGGCTAAAGAAACGGATTTGGCTGCTTATTTCTTTCTGAATTGAACAAGATAAACTTACGGGTTGTGGAATAACTCTGAGCTAAAAAAAAGAGTGTGAAGCAACATTATCAAATTACTGATATCAATACACTTACATAGTGGTACAGTACTAGCAGCAGCAATAGTAGTCGAATAGGCTAGAGAAAGACTTCCTAGAATGCCTCAATTGGCTTTTGATAGCTGAACTCACCTGAAATCTGTCCTGTATAGCACGTGCTATTAAGGAAGATCGGCAAACAAACAGGAGACAAGCAACAAGTGTTGACCACACAAACAGTTGAATTACTCGAACAGCTAGTTCCATTGATGCACCTATCAAATAAACTGCAGTCAACTGCCGGTGCGCATACGTTTTTGCCGTTAGCTGTTTGAAAGCCATAGCAAGGTGTACAGGTTATACTTGAATCTCCCGGAAAAGAGCATACAGGAGCATTGCAGCCCGATAGCTGTCGAACTACTTGTGCTATATATAACATAACTAAAATTAAATGAATCTTACTAAGGTTCCAAGCTTACCACAAGTTGTATCAGCACATATTAGTATAAAGAGACAGATAAAAAGCATATGCATTGCCGTTTTATACCTTAAAGTGATTTGTCTCAGCAAGCTGTTGACGTGCCTTTACTATACATGTTCAACAATAAAAAAAAGACAACTATTTGTGTCTTACTTACCGATAACTGGAGTTGCAAGAATGTATGCTCACTTTACCTGTGCTTCGCTATTTATGGAGTACCAGAGGCGGAAAAAAATGAGTACTAGACATTTCGCCGAACGCATTATATTACTCTTTGTCAATATTATCATTATACCCCTATACCATTGAGCTCAATAGAAAACAGCTAGAGCAATAATGCAAATGAGTTGCTTTGATTTCAAGAGTGCCCTCGAGTATTTTTTGTTTTTCTTTCGATTAAAGTAAAATGGAGAAGCTTTTTCTTTCACAGAATGTCACAGCATGTACACAATGGTTCGAAACATACATCATTCAACTCACCCAATTTCAAAAAAATCTCAAAATCCATTAGATGAATTAGTTCATTTTCCGCGAATTTTTTTCCGCCGACGATTATTTTAGTGAATTCCAACTAAGACAAATAAATTTCTCACCGAAAAATATCGAATCAATTATAATCCATTCTCTTAGTATAGAAATTCATTCTAATTAATTATTCACACCTGAGTTGGTAGCGAATTCAGGTAGGAGGCGGGGGTGGAATGTGGACTTTGCTCTATTGATTCTCACTCACACCCACACCCACAACCACCCTACTAGACATTTCGCCGAACGCATTATATTACTCTTTGTCAATATTATCATTATACCCCTATACCATTGAGCTCAATAGAAAACAGCTAGAGCAATAATGCAAATGAGTTGCTTTAATTTCAAGAGTGCTACTCGAGTATTTTTTGCTTTTCTTTCGATTAAAGTAAAACGGAGAAGCTTTTTCTTTCACAGAATGTCACAGCATGTACACAATGGTTCGAAACATACATCATTCAACTCACCCAATTTCAAAAAAATCTCAAAATCCATTAGATGAATTAGTTCATTTTCCGCGAATTTTTTTCCGCCGACGATTATTTTAGTGAATTCCAACTAAGACAAATAAATTTCTCACCGAAAAATATCGGATCAATTATAATCCATTCTCTTAGTATAGAAATTCATTCTAATTAATTATTCACAGCTGAGTTGGTAGCGAATTCAGGTAGGAGGCGGGGGGGTGGAATGTGGACATTGCTCTATTGATTCTCACCCACACCCACATCCACATCCACACACCCACACACCCAAACCATTCGAAGAATTTCAACTAATTGAAGATAATATATTTGTTCATGAAGTAACGGAAGGTGATATGATGCATTGAAAAACTAATCCAAAGACAAATTATGAATTTATCTCAAGAAACATTTATTGTAAATGAAACATTAGCTATTGAATATACATTTGATTCTAAACCTGATACGTCTTTGTTTGGGTGAAAGATGAATCAAGTTTATCAATGATGCAAGAATTAATATTAAACAAAATAATAAAGCAATCATTTTAATCACTAAAGATTTACAATTATCAAAATCTACTGTCGAAACTGGACAGAAAGAAAGAAATTGTTACGAAAACTATTCTTACTATAATTTTGGGTGGCGTGTACTTTCATCATTTGGTTCATTTTGACCATTTTCTTGAATCTCGACCGCAACATGATTCATTTCAATAGCTTCAGTCATGGTAGATATCAGTTTTCGAAGCGAGATTGATAGAAATCTATTCAACAAAATATCGTTAGAAGAATAGAGCAAAGTAAATTTTGTTCATGTCAGTCGAGTTATACAACAATGATAATGAATCAGTACCTTCGTTCTTGATGAACGATTAAACATTGATGACTTACTTCTGAAAAAATATATTGATGAAAAGAGAAATTTTAGTTCAAAAGTTTTCTTTTCGTTCTGTGTGCTATGTCTTTCTTTCTTTCTTTCGTTCTTTATCATTCTGTGTAGCTACGCATATAAATTTTGTTAGTTTTCATATGGCGCATCAATGGCTGTCCATTTCAAAAATATGAAATGTCCGATAGAAGAGATGGCATAAGTATACATTTTATATAAGTAAAATATTTTTTGGCGATGTCCAATGAAATTAGCAATAACACTGCAGCGTAAGAACTATAATTAGCCTCTTGAAAATTAATTAAAAAAATGGTGCTTCTTTCGAAGTCGAGTTTGATTGAAAGAGTTACTTTGAATAATAATGCTTAAAACACAATGGAATGTAAAACGACGCTTTCTATCATTCAGTAATAATGGGTACGGAAACGAAAGAAAAAAACGAAAATGAAGAACAACGACCATTCAATGTTCATGAAAAACCATTTCAAGTATGTAGTTTTTTATTCCTTCACTAATTCGGTTTTGGTGAGGCACTTTAAAAAAAGATTTACACCGATGGTCTTGTTTGCTATCCAAATACGCTTTTAGCAGGCGTACTCATCTTGAATCATTTTGGCTGCTCAATCGAAATGCTTACTTTTTATCACGTGATGTACACTTACGTATATTTGACCGTATTATTTTACCTTTATACGCATCCGCTGAAGTATCGAATAAAATAATCTTGTATTTGAAAATGTTACAATCTCCTTTAATTATCTCTCTTCTTTCTGATATGCTTATTTACAAGTGTATTTGGCGATGCATAAGCGCTTGCATATCATGTATCTCTTGCACAATTGGAATATTTGAAATGACTCCGTGGCGATATCAGCATAATTTTATAAGTCTAATTATTTGAGATATTCTTGTTAGTTTTATTTTATTATGGATTCTCTTTTATGAGCAATATTCCGATAAAATGCTACTTACTAAATAGTATTCTATGGGAATATGTTTGGTGCTGTCAATCGATGAATTGATGAGACTGAACAGATACATACACCCACATTGCCAAAGTTGACGATGTATTATTACCTGTAATTATCATTTGATTTTTAAAATTGAATCGGATTCATGATTCAACTCAGGTACAACTAGCATAGTTCTGTATGATTTAACTTAGCTTTTTAATTGAATTATATTTTAATCACTCATTTTCATGAATGTAATTTTCACAAACAATTTCTTCGAATTTACGTCTACAAAAAAAGAAACGTTTTCTGCATTCAAATTTCAAGTAAATATTTGGCTACTTCAGAGAAATATTCGATGCGACATGCAATAAAATAGATTTTCTAAATTAAAGATAAATAAACAATCGAAAACAAAGGTTCATAGTAAGAACCTCGGCTCTTTGCTTTTATCATGGTGTATAGTAATGTAAAGATTTTTTCGTCAAACTCAAAAGAAAACACACGCTCATAGAGTAATACATTATTTAAAGTCCTTCTTCAATCTAAATCGATATTATTTTTTATTTCACATCTCGCTTTAAGTTAATCTTCTTATTCGAAACTCGTATTCTCTGAGAATGTATAAATAACATTGCCATCATTAAGATCTGTATAGAGAAGTCTGACATTCTCTTCACGTGTCCGATCTACTAAAAAAGATGTACATAATAAACATAAATATAACCATTGTCTCATATGAAAGTTATAAAAACTTTCATTCATAAGAAAAAAACTCGTGGATATTATTTTAAGTATTTTCTAAGCAATGTACTGTTTCATGTTTTATTTTGTGGACCTCACATATATTTTCGATGGTGAGTGTAAGTTTAAAAGCGAGATTTTTGCGGCTCCCCAATCCCTTCCCATTATAGACATTAATGAGTTTTAAATTGTGCTAATTAGGAGCTTGATTAATTAGACTGACATTTCTTCCTTTTTTAATTACAGACTACACGAAAAAAAGCAATACTGGCCCATTAAAGACCATAGAAAGTAGTCTCTGCCATTGTTAAATATACGAGCTAACAATTAATACTCGATTACAGACATAAAAAAATAGGTAATGACCTAATTATACGTTTTTTGGAAATCAAGGTTGATTTCTCAGATAAACTATTTTGAATTGTTTTAGTAAACCTAAAGGATCTATATGAGTTCCACATTTTGAGCCCCAAAGGGGCAGCGCTAACAAGTTTTTCTATAAAAAATTACTTTTTTTTTTTAATATTTAAATTTCATTTTTTTTGATCAATCTAAATTTGAACTTTGAGTCTTTATTTCAACAAAAAAAAAATATGTCAGTAGTTTAAGACTATGGTTGTCTGCAACGATATTCACTGTCAAATCGATCGATTGCTTTCATTGACCTTTTTGGTTCATTATTTAAGCGCATAGAATATAATCCATTTCATTCTATTTATCATTGATGTTTTGTAATGTAGTGAACGAGAAAAAATATCAAGGACATTTGATTCACAAATAACATCTAATGACCATTATAAATGATAATGAATGCATTTTAATGTCCATGATATTCAATAGTAACACCAAAATAGTAACCTTCGAGACAAGTAAACGTCTGTCTAAGTAATAAGAAACAACATTAGCACCTTGAGTTTTTTTGCTATGGTATATTATTGTCAATTCATACTATCTTGAATATTCTTCAAGTTTTTATTTATCATTCTCTAAATTTATTTGATCATATATTGACAAGAAACATAAATGATCTGATTATAAATGCTTTGTCTCTACAACAATAGAGTATATTGCGGTTCAATAGAAATTCAAACGATAACTTCTTAAAGATATATTATTCACCAAAACGCACTTATTCATGCTAATATCAAGATGATATAGCACAAAATTATCCAACTCAATAGATTTGAAATTGATGTCATATAAAATATTCACCTTTGACTTTTTTGTATCAGAATATTAGATCGAATTCGTTCTTACATGTGCACGCGACCATTTATGAATAGGAATACAACAAAAGAAGTTCTTATTTTAGTTCGTAGAAGTGACGAAGAAAAAAAAACGTGTATAATTCAATTTTAAAGAGGTACTCACGAAGAAGAGGTCAATTTCAAGAAAAAATTACGCATAAAGAGTTCAGAATATTCACTAAACGGAGTTATTCACGAGAAGATATTTCATAGTCGATTGAATAATTTATCAATAAAAGAGTAGTTATAAGTCGACACGCTTTCCTACGATGCATCCGCTTGCGAATTCATTAACTTGTATAAGTCTTATGTATTATAATTTTCTTAGAACGAATTGAATTGTGTATATTCTAAGTTTTTTTATTCAGTTTAGCACAATCATCTAGATTTTCAATCAAGTTTAATAACTAACTTAGACTATGCAATGACAAAGAAACCTATGAACAAAAGAAGAGTTTTCTTTTCTATTTATCTTAACAAATCAGATTCTATTTGCCCTTCTTGAAATTCTGGTTGTTTCATTCTTCTTACGAATTTAAATTTAATAGACTTTGATTATTTGCTTACATTTAAATAGAAATTGGATTAAATTTTTTTAATTGAAGTATTCATATGACATTGAATTTAAATTTGTTCATCGTACAATGAAAACCTAGAAGATGCAGTCCGAGTCTATGCGTTTGTATTTTTATCCATAGAATATCGTCCTTGTCGATGACTTGTAAGTTGATCCTGATCTGCAAGTTTATGTATGCGTGGATTTATCATTTCTCTATGCACATTCGTCGTTCATTCTTTCTTTTGCTCTTTCTGATTTTTTTGTTTAAACCAGTAGTCTTCCTGACGATAAGCTCTCTCAAATTTCTTCTGACCACGAGTGAAATGGTTGACATGTGTATGCCAATATACTGTACTTCTTTTTTTCTTTTCTTCTTTTGGTCGCTGTCAAGTATCGAAATGTGTGGAGCGAAGAAAGAATTGAACGATTAACCGTATGAGATGAGACGGGGTGGTGGTGCTCCATCGTTAAACATAACATACTCTGCGGAATTTTTTCTCTTTATTCTTTTGTTCTCAATTGCTCTTGGCTGTTGCCCTTCTTCAAATAGGAAAAAAAAGCAAACTGTCGATCAACTTATCAAATTCCGGTATACACATTTATTACAAAAAGAAACTGAATTGTTACATCTCTAATTCTTCTGTTCATTGTATACTCATGAAACGCATATTTATATATGAGTACGTATTACTACTATACTGTTATGCATACGACATATATATGTATATGATCGTTGATGAACCATGATAAAATAGGAAGCGTCTTTTTACTACTTAATGACGTGATCAATCAAATGCTTGTCTTTTTTTTTACAGAATAGAGAAGGACATGACAGTTGCCCATGCTGTGTCTAATCGACATCGACATACGATTAGGTGTGAACGTCAGGATTGACTTTTTTCTTTGGTTTTAAATATTTCCCATGGCCTCATCAGCATCGGTTGACCATCTTTCTTTCTATCTATCTATCAATGTAGTCAATGAACATGAAAGATAAAAACGCTCGTTACCAAGATGAGAACTGAAGGTCATCAATCGCATGAACATTGTTATCATCGTACATATATGAGCAGTAGTTAAAAGAAAAACGGAGTTTGAGCGATGAAGCATGACGTGTGAGCATGTTGTACACCTTGAAACTAAATGTATATGAATGAATGTATGCTTCAGGCAACGTCTCTTTTTCGGTCTCTTCTTCTCTTTTTACCTTTTTCCTCTATATACCTCTTTCTCTCTCTCTCCTGTATTAGACAATCAACTAATAATGATGAATGATAGCAATAGGTGTTGATCGACCAGAAACATTGTTGAACATAGAAAAATTATACTAAGCGACAAATAACAACATAGTATGATTCAATAAAATAATGAACAAACTTGATTATGGATTCACAAATAACAGTTAAATGTGGTAAAAAATGTAAAGTAAGTGTAAACATCATTGTGTCTCTCAATATTTCATGATTATTGTTCATTAAATTTAAGATTGATAATGAACAACATATGATTCAAAAAAATGGTTCTATGAAGGACAATAATACTGGTATACAGTGTTATTTTTACAATAGCAATAAATGCGTTCTGTTTATTTATCTTTTTTTTTCGTTTGGAAATTTCAGATGTTTGTCACGATCATTTTCGCATCGATAAAGAACAATCGATGCTTAGTGATTGCCAAAAATTACTTGAAAGAAACGAACCCTTAGATAAGCCAGATAAATATGGCATTACTCTTGTAAGAGGAAAAAGAAAAAGTCTGTTTAAAAGAAAAATTAACACTCTTATTTTATTTTTATAGCTACATATTGCTGCTGCCAAAGCATATTCAAGTGTAGTTCATTTTCTATTACAACATTATGTGAACGCAGATCAAGTTGACGACACAGGTGCTACCGCGTTGCATCTTTCTGCTAAACATGAGCACGTAAGGAAAAAAAAATAGTGAGAAAAAATACTGATGAATAGAATAAAAAAGAACTTTCTTTTCCGCCACCGGTAACGATATATTTGTCTTCTCACGTGTGTTTTTCTTATTTATTATTAGGGTGTAATTGTAAAACTTTTACTTGACGCGCATGCTAACCCAACAGTTTGTGATCGATTTGGTCGAAAACCAAGTGGTTAGCATTGTAAAATTTCTACTTTTTATTCTCAATGTAATAGTTATTTTAGAAGTGTGTCTGTCGAATAGTTTTATTCGTGCATTACTTGTCAAAGCTGAAGTTAAATTTGAAGAAAAACGTAAACGTGCTGAACAAAGTGATGATAGTTTAGAAGAAGAACATGACGAAACTATTGATAGTTTATCCGATGACGATAATCACGATGATGATCTGCAAGTTTTATTTAAACCGATCCCACAAAGAAGAAGCATGTAAGGCTTTATTATGAGCGACTACTTGGATGGAATTGTTTTTATTTTACAGGATTATTTCTCCAATATTAAATAATGATAACGATGATAGCAGCACTACAAAAATGATGAATATTTTTGACGAGAAATTAAATAATCATACTAACGATGATCGAGTAAGTTAAGATATAATTGTTCATTGATTGCTGCGTATGAGTAAATATGAACGTTCAGAAATAAGTGACTTGAGCAAATTTAATAATCGACGTAGAAGGTTATAATAACTTAATTATACAAAGAAGAAGAAAAAAATAACTTTCAGTGTTTTTTGTAATGTAAAACAAAATACATTTTTGATATTTGTTCATAAGAAGAAAAAAAGAAAAGAAATACAACTGTATTTGTTTATAGTAGTAATTGCTTTGGAATTCATTTTCCATTGGTCATAAAAGTTAAAGAAAAAAAGACTTTGGCCTTGCCTGTTTGCTTATAGTTACAAGTACATGTTTAAAACTTCAAAGAATTTTCTTTCGAAAGAAAAATTGTTCACGTAAATTATAAAATTTTATTTAATGCTATCTGAAGTTGACGAATTGAAATATTTTATTATCGTCACCTTGAGTTAATTATTTAATTTTCTATTACAATTTATTGTGTCATCATATACTTATATCCAGATATGCTTATTAATATAAAACGAAGAGTGTTTTTTTACTCGGATTGATTCATATCATAATATCGTTTTGTTAGAAATAAAACACAATCAGATAGAATACATTATTATTACTCAATAATTGCATCATCATCTAAAGTGCTTGACAACTCGTCTTACGCTCGACTGAGCTGAAAAACGTCACGAAAGATGCTTACCCATTACTTTAACATAATGGGTAAAAAAAAGTAAATCATTTAGTGTGATTCTGATCGGTCCAGCCACGCACAGTCATATAGGTACACATATATACCTATATATATATATATATATATATATATACGTACATGCAACGTAAGAATGTGACACAAAGGGAGAGAGAGAGAGGGAAAAAAGTAATGGACGAAGGAAGGTTTAATCAAACATGGGCGAGAGTAGGAGAATTGTCGTCGTTATTATTTTGAGCGCTCTCCTAATTGACAAAGTAAGGAGAAGAAAAAGAAAAGAAGATACCCGTCGTCGAAAGTAATCCTTTATCCAGTGACAAAAAAAGCGACGTCGAAGGCGACTTAACGCCACTGACACACCCATAAACATATACATAGATATACGCGGATGTTATGGCGCCTACAATGTTACCTTTGCTGATTAATTTGGGTTCTTATAAACCTTGGGTGAGCTGTTTTTTTTCTGTAATCAGTGTATTTGTTTCGCTTTATCGAATATTATTATTTCCGTTTCAAATGATCGCTAACTGTTATGTCTAGTAACAGTACAATATTGAAATATACGATCGTTAGTCTTGTAAGTGTGTACATACACTTATAAGGGTTGCTTCTCGAATAGCCATATGGCAGATCATGTTTTTGTTGTTTGGTAGTTGACAAACGTGAGGCGAAAAAGAAGAGGAAGGAGAGGACGAACAAAAAAAATTTGGATTTGAAGAATTTTGGTAAACATGCTCGAGAATGCAGGCAAGCGAGTAATACAAGGATAAGAAAAAAGAAGGTGGGGAAAGAGAAAAAAATGAATGAATAGCTACACAGCATTTGCAAACTACTTGAAATGTGCAAAATCGAAGTTCGACTGTAACAAACAAAGAAACAAATCATAAACCAAATACCGTTATTATTATTACGGCTACTATCATTGTTATTACTACACATTTTTTTCGAAATATTCTTCATCTTCAATGTCTCTATTTATTCAAGTGTATTCGTCTTCACAGAGTAACGTAAAAGAAAAAAATGCAAAACGAACAGTCACTATGTGACACATATCCATACATGTATTGATCATACCTATTGCAGTGACCTTTTTTTCTGGTGTCTCATATGTCTATTTGTATTCATTCTTGCTGTCTGTCAACAAAGAATACATATTAATTGTTCGTTTATATTTACCTATAGATACGCGTAATTCTTTTAATTATAAAAAAAATTAATTTCTGAAAAAATCATGGTATGACTAAGAACAACGTCAACTATCATCTTCCAAATATTGTACCATATGATCATAAACGTTCTTCAGAAAAATTGCCTAATGATCATTTAAAACAGGTATTTCGCTGGTGCTTCTTTTCCTACATATATATATTTATTAATAACGTGTGTCTTTCATAGAACAATATTTATCCTCATTTAGATAATCATGTATGCATTCATCTATTGTTTATTCGATAGAACTTGTAAAGACTCTTTTCGCCTCTCATCGTTTTTACCTAGTACATTTTTGTGTATCGAAAAATGCATGAAATAGTTTCTCTAAAATTGATTGCGTATTAAGAGAAGAATTGTTTAAACAATAGAGTAGACGAATACTTATCTGTCAAGTGTTTTATAAATTGTACGAGAAAACGTTATCCATAGGTTTCTTTAAATGTCTCTTTTCTTTTTCGACTTTCTATGAGTCAGTCTTGTTGATAAATTGATATTGATTAAAAAGCAATCAGTAGATATAAACTATTTCAAATGATTGTGATCATAGAAGAATAGGAAAACTTTTATCGCTTGGAGAAATGTATATTACTTTAAGTTTTTTTCAAGTAATTTATTTTAAAAATTTTCGAACTTTATAATTTCTTTCTTTAGTCACTTCCAACAAAATTGCCTAATGATGATTTGGCTTTATTACCTGAAATCTCCGAGCAAAGTTTGCTTTACGATTTGGAGATACGCTATCGGCAAGGTCAAATCTATGTAATATTTGTTTTTCTTTTATTTTTCTTGCGGTTTGTTGTAATGTTTTGGAATGTTTAGACTTACATCGGAGATATACTTATAGCTTTAAATCCTTTTGATCATCTCCCAATATATGGTCGACAAGTAATTGAAAAGAACATTTTTTTTTTTAAATTTTGTTTACTATAAACAATGTTTAGATCTCTGAATTGTATAAAAATACTGAATCAATCGTTTCATTACCATCACATATTTATGGATGTGCCGAACGTTTATATCGAAATATGTTACGGGAAAAAACATCTCAATGTGTTGTTATATCTGGTAAATTAATAAAAACAAAAAAAATGAGAAAAAAAATTTGTTGTTTTGTAGGTTTATCCGGTAGTGGAAAAACTGAATCATGTAAATATATTGTTCAACATATACTTAGTCGTTCATTATCAGTTGAAACATTGCTGAATATGAAAATAAATCAAGTAGAAAAATTTCCCGATTGACGATGTTATTTGTTTAAATAAACAAAATATTCTTTAGGTTAACTCACTAATGGAAGCATTTGGTAATGCTAAAACATACATCAATAATAAGTATGAAGGAAATTTTCCAATGGTTGATTTTGTTGAAGTTTTATTCTTTTTATTTTTGTTTAGTTCAAGTCGTTTTGGAAAATATCTAGAAATTCATTTTGCACCTACTGGCAATGTTTTAGGAGGTAAAAGATATGAAACCGTACTTGTGTAATTCAAAACATGAAGTTTTTTTCTTTTATATTTCGTAGCTAATTTAAAAGAATACCTACTTGAAAAGTCACGTGTTATATCGCATAACAATGATGAAGGAAATTTTCATATTTTTTATTATCTATTTGCTGGCCTATCTCATGATATGTTAGTCCGAAATGGTTTAAGAGTACCGAGTGAACATCGGTAAATAATTTTAAAAAAAGAATTTCTTGATTACCTATTTTTTTATCTTCATTAGATATATGTCGCATAATATTGAATTAGCGCAATTAGATAGTGCTAGACAAGTTGAATATAGAAAAAAATTTCAAATGGTGAAACAAAGTTTAATAACAATTGGATTTTCTGCAGAAGATGTTCAATCAATATTTACGATTCTATCAGCTATATTACATGTCGGTGATGTTATTTTTGTTCCGCATGGTTCAAATGATGGTGTACGAGTTAAAAATAATGGTACAATCGATAAAAGTATGAAATTATGATTTTGCTTTTTCTTTATTAAACAATTCTCGTTTAAATTAGTCGCGGAACTTCTTCAGCTATCTTCAATGGAACTGAGCTCTGCGTTAGTTACTGAATTACAAGTCACACGTGGTGAGCAAATATTTCGTGAGAGAAATATTATTCAAGCATCAGAATGTCGAGATGCTTTTGCTAAAGCACTCTATGGACGGTTATTCAGTTGGATTGTCAATGGAATTAATTCATATCTACAACCGGTTGAAGATGAAGGGTAAATTATTTGTTAAAATAGAAAAATTAATAATATATTCACGTATGCATATGAAAGAATTTCAATACTCTAAGTATGCTCAACATATATGAGAATCTTCTTAAATCTATGAAGAGATAACCGGATACGGATTACTCGCATATATGTTGAATAACTGTAGAAATCGTTAGAAACATTTGACATTTTAGGTAGAATGAAGTTTGTTTACATGCCGCGATACACTACGATTGAGAGACAAAGGTTGATTAATCTCAACAAAATAAAACTTATAGTGTGCTCTATGAAGGTGTATTTATCGTGTGTATGAGGTCATCGGCATTATAATGAATATCATGAGACACTATTTAGAATTAATTCACAACTACCTTTTCTAGCACTCAACGTAGACATACATTATATATATATATATATGTATTTACTCTGATCTTAATTGTTAACCGTTATATAGGTTATAATCTTCTATGACATATTAACGCTATTTTTACTTTTTTCTCATGATCTACAATATTTTCGCATGACAAGCAAAAAGTTCATGTGTTGATGAACACAAGGATTTATTTCGTATTGAGATTGTCTTTAGAAGGATTCTCCTGATCTCTTATTTAGTTTTAACCTTGTACGATAAAAAAAATACATCTCGGATGTTGCGGAGAAAAATTAAAAAACAATTTTGAAATTTTACGATTTGTTTTCGTTAATACTATCGGTTTCTAAAACGAAGAAATTGATTATACGATAAATCGAAGGGTTTGCACTATTAGACATAGTTGGGTTAAATTACATATCTCGCTAACAGAAAAAACAAATTTTAAATATGAGCTAGGGGAGGGCAAGGATCGTGTGACGTCATCATTTATATATATACGAAAAAAAGATTTAATTTTAATCAGAATTTTCAATTTATTTTGTTTTTACAGTTTGAAAAATATTTTCTTTGTACAACTTGCGTATTCAACGATGAAGAAAAATAAAAATAAATAGTTTTTAAATTTCTATTTACGCCTATTTCACATTGTTTTGTCAATACGAACAAAATCCATCACCTTGTACAGTATACGCCATAGGCATTTGGAATTTAAATGTTGCTATTTAGTCAATGCGACCTTGAAGTTTACTTGAATGTAAACAATGCTCGTTTATAACAGTCTCCATTAGAATATACAGAAGAAGTTTATCAATTGATTTTTCTTCATTGATAAATTGTGTATTGAGACTAATTTGACCTCGTGCTGATTCGAGTTCAAGAGCAACGGCAATCATTTTTTCTAGGAGTCTTATAATTCGTCGAATCGATTATTGTTCATGCACTAGAGTTATTTAAGCGATTAATTCTATTATACTTCATCGAAGTACTTCAAAACTGCAGATATTTTATAGCTATATGAATTGAAACACTTGTAGTGAAAAGAACTGTGATTGATAAGTTTTCGTATCTTGTCAATTCAAGAGCGATTAAATTTAAATTGGTCTCTTGTTTTTTTTTCATATTTTGCATATGTTTAAGAAAAAATCCAGTGGTCTTATCTTAACACCGATTCATACCACAGAATGATAATTTCTTTGTGAATAAAAAGTTTGATGAATCACTTCAACAAGGTCTTTCTCATCTGTGTTGATAAATTTCAACACTCCTCAAAACAAAGTAGATTTTTAATTGCTTGTTGTTTTTTTCTCTTTCTAGTAGTTCTGCACATACCATAGCGGTGCTTGATATATTTGGTTTTGAAAATTTCAAATCAAATAGTTTTGAACAGGTATCTAACAAAGAAATTTACTTTCCTATATGTAAACTATTTAACTTAGTTATGTATAAATGTAACCAATGAACATATGCAACGATTTTTAAATCAACATATCTACGATTTGGAAATTTCCGATTGTCAACACGAAGGTATCGATACAATTGATATTAATTATGCAGATAATCATCTTGTTATCGAAACATTTTTTAATGTAAATATAAATTATTTCGTTTGATCGAAAAAATATGTATATGTATATTTATGTAGAAACATTCCGGTATATTAGCTATATTAGATGAAGAAAGTCGTTTTCCGCAAGCAACAGATCAAACATTAGCAACGAAACTTCATCATGGACCTGGTGTACAATTTCGTGATATATATTCCGTACCAAAAGATGGCGGTACAACATTTACGATACGTCATTATGCAGCTCCTGTTGTATATAATATGGTTGGATTACTAGAAAAAAATCGAGATTTTCTTCCAAATTCAATTGTTTTTGTTGCTCGAAGTAAGAAACACCTACAAAGTCCAAAAGAGAATTTTTCTTTGATTTCAACTTCTTTTAGCAAGTAATAATTTAATTATTCAAGAATTATTTCGTATGAACTTAAATGAGAAAGGTGTTTTACCAGCATCACCATCATTACGCAATCATCAGCATCATCCGAATACATTTCATGCTAACCGAGATATTAAACGAAATGATGTATCGTTTAATCACGGTGTAAAACACTCATCACATCTACAACAGCCAAGTAGAACACTACCAGAAAAATCAAATGGAAATACATTTGAAAGAACTGGCGGAACAGCTATGCGAACAGTTGCCTTTCATTTTAAAGTGAGTCGAATCACTACAGTTATCATCGTTCTGTGAATATTTAAAATTTTACTTAAATATTTACTAATCATTGACAACTCTATAGCGACGATGTTGATCGTAGTTTTGTTCGATTACATCATGCCTCTAATATCAGATATCTGCTAATGTACACTAGACGATTAGCTTGTCTGAATGATCTGGGCATCTGAAATAGTCTGCCGGATTTAAATTGATTTGACTCGATTTCTAGCAAACTGCTTTAGTGCAATGAGCGAAGTCCTTCAATTGATCGTTTGCTTTTGAATAGAAACGATGTACATAATAATGAACTGTAAATAACTTTCAAACAATTTTTGTCCTTAACTTAGTAGCTGTAGGGTACTGCACTTTTACGACATTTTTTTTTAATGGATGACTTTATCGTCCTCAGGAATATTGATTTTCGAACTTTTCAAACCTAGAATTAAGTTCTAGCAAGATTTACTTTACTACACTTTAAGGTGTGTCTCGATGCAAAATTTTAAGTCGGAATTTAAAAATTAATTTACTTATAAGAATCCATAGTAATTATTTAAAAAATGCGGTAAATCATATTTTTTTGTACCTTTCCTATGTCATCGAACATATTCTTCGGTCTAGGTCAAAGCTTATTTAGATTTATTTTTATTCAAGGTCGATTCATACTTGCATACTAATACGCTCTGTCAAAATTTATCAAATATTTAATCTCTGTAAAAAAAATTCATACTAGCCAAGAACTTGCATGCATATGTATTCTATTACTCCAATAGAATATTTAAATTATAATTTTCAACTAAGCGTTACGTATAAATTGTTTTCGGTTTATTCCTTAAATGAGTCAAAAAGAGTCGTAATAGGTAAAGATGTATCGGGTAGAAGTATGCCGATTCCGACAAATATGTATTAATCAATCGTGCTTTATAGTAACTTAATACTTTGAAATGAGAAAATCTTCAATGTCATTCCCCTTTATCTCTTTTTGATTTAATACAAAAGGAAAATAATAATGATTTCTTTACACATGAGAACTATTACTTATATCGTTAATTTCCTCGGAAATCACCGTCTACCTCGGGTGTCCTTGAGGGCTTTTATTTCCATAATAAAAAATGTTCATTGTTCTTTATAACAATGATTTATGAAAATATTTGCTAGAAATGTAATAAAAATACTAAATGAATATTTTTCATGTCTCTTAAAAGAGCTCCAAGGTTAACCACAAAAAAACTTGATCATAATAACGATTCAAGTCTGTTTTCTCTTTCGAAAACATTTTATTTCGTATATTTTTCGAACTCATTAACTTCTATATTACTCTTCGAATGAATACAAATATATTTTTTTCTTGTCAAACCTAGTCTCTCTCTCTCTCTCTCTCTCTCTCTCTATTCAAGTCTAGAACGCATAGAGAGAGAGAGAGAGAACTGGTTGAATAAATGCATAGAAATAAATCATTCTATTAATAAAACGATTCATATGGTTATTCAAGAGTTAATTTAGAGAAGTAAGAAAAAGAGCCCGGAATATCAAAAGCATCATTCAAAATGTCAGCTCGTTAATCGAGATAAAATTTTCTCTTTGAAATCGAACAATAGAAAACATTAATTGAGTTGTGCATCAATAAGCAAAATACATACAACAAAAAAAAAAGAAGCATAATCTCTTTATTTTAGCATTCGTTATCAGAATTAATTGAAAAAATGACTCTTTGTCAATGTCATTTTGTTCGATGTATTAAACCAAATGAACTACGAGATAAAACAACTTCATTAACAGTACCATGTGTTACACGTCAATTACGTTACTCTGGCGTTCTTCAAATGTGTGAAATCCGAAAGAAAGGATACCCATTAAGAATTCAATTCGATGAATTTCTACATAGGTGAGACAATATTACTCGTGTATATTTAAGACCGAACCGTAGAGACAACACATATGCATATTGTAAATGTCATTGTAGATATATATGTCTACTCTTTTCTCCACCTACAATTTTTTTCCTTCTTTTTTTTTGACATCAGACAGTTGATACAGCAGGTGCTTGTATCGCTTTTGATTATCATTCAATGGATACAAGAGACGGACAAACGATGAAACTGATCTTCATATATACATAAAATATTCTTTTTATTTCGTGTGTGTATGTGTAACAAATAGTTGTGAATACTCGACACACGAAATTTTTTTCTCCTTCTTTGGATGGATGAAGAAAAAAAAAGAGTAGAGTATATAAATTCACAGATGCAAAAAGAAACCCTAAAGTGAAATTGTATCGTTTATGTGCAATTTGGTAGAAAGCAACCATCGTCGTTTTTTAGACACAATAATTTTCCATGTGCACCGCATCATGAAAAGTCTCACATGAAACGAAATATTTTGTCTTGTTGTTTTGTTTTACGTCATAATCAATGATTGAGCAATTTATTACCCTCATCATAATTCACATTTACTCGTGTCGATATGATTTATGACTTTTCTTATTCTTTTTTTTTTTATATTTATTTCTATCCGTTTGTTCATATTAGATACAATGCTCTCGTTCTATGCCTACTACCGATTACTACCGATGACCGGTCAAAAGAGTTATCATTATCATCACTAACGTATAGCCGTGATCGGGCGATTGAATGTTTAAAACGGGCCGGAATTGACAATTATAAAGTGAGTCTAACACGTTTTTTTCTCCCTTCTTCTTCTTCTTCTGTTCTATTTAAAGTAAAAAGAAAAGGAGAAACAAGCAGTCCTAAAAGAAAGTTCTCTTGCCATAAATAGAAAAGACACACTTGATCATGTGCATGGAGATTGACATGATTTTTCTTTTATTTTGTTTGTTCTTTTGATTTAAGGTTGGTCGTACAAAATTACTATTTCGTTATTGGCACTCTGATCAACTTCATAACTTAGCTGTACAATACGAGAAAAAAGTCAATGTTTGCCAGAAAGGTACGTATATGTTTATGGTAATGCTTGGATGCCATTAAATTGATAGACAGCACCAATGAGAGAGAAAATGATTGATAAAACCGACAGACAGACGAACGGTATCAATGAATCTAATCTCGTTTATGATCGATAGGAAAGAGTATACACGTTCAATTTATACATACTCGTACAATGGACTCATGAACTCATTAAACGCCAAACAAAAAAAGAATAGATAAGACTGCAGGCAAAGGGTGAAAATGAAAACAACATATCGTTTTCTTCGCTGTTCGTTCTCATTTTCATAGAGAAGGTCGTCGTCATTTGATCCTTAATCTTGCTTTCTTAGTCAGTCGTTCAGTAACACATACGCGCATTGAGTTGCTTATTATTTTTGCTAAACTCTTTAGTGATAAAATTACCAATTATTTTTTCATTCAAACAAAAAGAAAACGATTTGAATGAAGAAATTAAAGCGTTTCGTAGAAACATTACACATACGAAATGATAACATTGAACAAACGTCAGGTAGTATAAAAAGATTTCATCAATAGTCATAGCTTCGCATTAAGCCTAAAGGACGTCTCTTATTAATCCATTATCAAACAGTATATTGATACGCGTTAATAGAAAAAGAAAACAACAGCTAAGTCGAGCAATTTTATAATTTCTTATTTCAATTACATTAAAATTCCTCCTCATCCTCTGAGCTTTAGGATTCATTTGATTGATCAACATTTCTCTTTCTTTAAAAGCACTTACAACAAAAGGAAAAAAAATCGAATATCGATTTCGTAATCGTATCTTTTTTTTTGCTGTTTTTGCCTATATAGTCTTACGTGGTTGGCTAGCTCGACGCAAATATAGTCGTCTTCGCGAAGTTCATCAATTACAATTAGTATTTATACGAAAATTTTGTGATGATATTGCATTAACCGGTCAATTATATAAAACGAAAATGGATAATCACTGTCAATATGATAAAAAGCGTAAATTAAAACAAAATGTCCAACCGAAAGCGAACGATGCCGATGAAGAACAAATTGAAAAAACAATGAACTACTTCGATTCACTTATTGATCCATACCTTAGTGATCAAGAGACAAATGCTGAAAATAAGAGTAAATTAATGAGTTATGATTAATTTTTGTTTTTGAAGAAAGTTAAATTATATCTTCAATTGAATTAGGTCGAAAATCATTAACTACATCTACGAATATTCCTCAAGTAAAACCAATTTCTCATACTAATGGAACTACATCAGTTCAACACGTTAAACAAGAATTTGATGTAAGTTAAGTTATTGAAGATACTTTAAACTTATCCGAGAGATTAAAATCCTGAAATATTGAGAAAATCAATGATCGATTGATTATATTGCCGTTAATTTCTCAAACGAGGAACGGTTAATTTATTTGTTTGATATTTTATCGTCGAAGGAAACCATGGCAAGAATGTTGAATAACTCGAATATTAGAGAAATATTTAGCTTATTTATGGAATTCGGTAGGCATAGAATAAATGTCGATATGTAAGGTTGATAAAATTTTCAAGTTCGATGAATTAATATATTCAGTTAGTTTATAATTTATTAAATTGCGACGTTTTACATTCTAAAACTCATGATATTTTAGATGTTCATTAATCAGAGACGAAATAATGAGTGGACTAAGTCAAGCGCCGTCGTAAACATTATCATTTCTACATCGTAGAACATTGCCATACGATCTTCTAGTTATGTGGCTTCTAGTAAAAGTTCTGTAATAACTTTTTCGAAAGATAAATGATTGCGTAGTTCCTTTGTCTCTATTATGCAAACGAAGTAGTTTAATACTTTAGCATAGAGTTCAAATGGTTAGGTCATTCTTACCTTCCTAACAAAAACTTGATATGCCATTCGTTACTTGGACTAGAACAATTAGACTTTAGAATGTCAAAACTCAGTAGTGAACTCAGAAAAAAAACAATCCTTCGTCGCTTGTTCAGATTTTTTCAATCTATTACTAGAAAAAAAAATAGCGAATCAGATCATTGTCCATTCAAATTCCATTATTCGCCTTTGATAGGATGAAGACTCTCATTGATAAACATAAAAATGTCTGAATAATCATAAAATTTCAAAAGAATATCTTTGACATACAGAATTTACTCGCATATCTGGAAATTTAAAACGAAAACATTGTGATCAAACGGGTCTATACAACATAATGTCTTTCTGGATCAAGAATTCTTTTTCTTTAAATTTATATTGCCCTTGGTAGCTCACAAAAAATAATTAATTGCTAAAAATCTTTCACAATAGGGAAATGTTTCAAGTAATACGAGCTCATCAACATCTTCTACATCATCTCAAAAAGTTCCACAACGGCCAGTAGATATTCATGCATCACACTTTCATCAATTTCAAAATATACGCTGCCGTTTTGAACAAATGACATCAGGTGTAACGAATGCTTCCACCAATAATGTTCGCCGTTATACATCAGAAAACAATCTAAATGAGATAAGTTCATCGTCAAAACCACTCCTACAACCTAAAGTACCTCGTCTAGTATCTGTACAAACGACTGCAACAGCAACATCAACAGAAGATTTAAGTAATATTCCATCATGGAAAAAATTATCACCTCAAGCACGTCTTTCAGCGTTGCTCGATAAAACAAATCATACATCATCATTATCATCGAACGGCACAAGTGCTAGTTTAATTGATTTAACGTCTATTGATAAGCTATCGACTAATAAACAATTTCAGCCAGCACCAACAGCAAGACCACGTTTTCGTTTCGTTCCATCATCAGATCAAAATTCTGTATTAAAAGAAGAACCTGAACCTGAACAACCATCAACACAATCAAATATATCGTATGATAATTATAATATTAAATCACTCTCACCAAATCGAACATCAATTAATAATCATAATAACCAGCAACAGCAAATATCTGGTGCAAAACAACCAAGTAAATTTGTTTTTTCATTATCTCAGATAAAATTTATTTTTCTATTCTTTCCAGATAATCTTATAAAACCATCGGTTATTCATCCGTCTCAAATGAGTCGCTCAACTGTGTTCACGCAATCAGATATTAATATTCATCAGCAGAATGGTAACAGTGCATTTAAACCTCATATATCTCAGCAAACAAAACTTATGAAATCTTCTATACAATTATCATCGAATCAAATCAATGGAAATAATTTTCACCATCCAATCGCAGCAACACAAAATATAATTCATCCGCTTGGCATAACGAATTCCAATGGCATGATATATAAAAATCAACAACCACCACCGGTGCCAAACATAAAACGAACAGAATCAGTACATAAACCAGGCGTACATGTTGGAATAACAAATCCGAGTGGTCCATCATCTGCAAACGGCTTAATAATGCGTCAACATCAACATCAACATCAACAAACAATACCACAATTTCATCAATCAATGCTCAATTTATCTTCTATAGGTGCATCGGAAACAACAAATTTAAATCAACCACCTATGGATATGTTTGGTTCACGTGTATCACTTCATTCATCATCATCAAATTTTATGAAGCACCCAGCTTATGCACAACAACAACAACAACAACAACAACAGCAACAACCACCAAATAAAACAAACGGACATCCTCAATATAATAATAATCATAATAGCCATCATCATCCTCCTCCGCCTAATTCATCAGCATTTAGACCTCCTCCAGCTATAGTTGAAGATCCTATTTTACGATGGATTCAACAAGTGAACAATAGTAGTAATGTTAATAGTTTAACATCGAACGGAGGAGGAAATCGATCACAACAACAAAATTTTACATATGTACCCTATGTTTCAACGGGTTCAAGTAAGAATTAGAAAATTTAAAATTTAATAAGGTATCTGAATTTTGTTTTGTTAAAGCTGTTCAACCAACTATGGTGAATGGCTCAGATCATCTTCATCGTCAACAACAACTTCAACAACCCTATTTAAATCAAGTCAACGTTCATAAACATCATGTACCACAACATACAGTACCTGTTCAAGCAGGTTATCTTGCTTCACCACCGGTATCAAGAAATGGTATATCACCATCGTTAACAGCAAATATCTATCATTTCAATCATCATAATTCTCAACAAGTAAACTCTGTAGTTTATGATTATTCAAAAGTTTTGTTTTGTTTTTAGATTCCGCCATCTTCCGGAGGAGGACAATCAAGACCACATTCACAACGTCAGGATGTAACTGTTACAACTTATCTTTAATAAAACAAAACAACAAGAATTTTCTTTTCAGGTTTATTAAACTTGCAATAGTATCTAAACTCACTAAAAGCGAGCTAGAACACCATTAATAGAACATATCTATGTATGTGTGTGCATGCGTGCGTGCGTGCGTGTGTTTTGTATAATTTCTAACTCGTTTGACGTCTATTTCTCCTCCAATATTTTTGCTCCTGTTACTTCACTTATATACTTGTATATTTTCATAAACGTGACGTTCACTTGTTTTTCATTAATTATTTGATTGTTTGTTTGTTTTTATTTCATTTTTCGATATTCAATCAAAAAACGGAACAAAAGAAAGAAAAAATCAATTGGGATATTGTCGATGAAATAGATCGAAGAATCGTTGACGATAAGCATTCGATGATACATTTATATCATCGAAAGATTTCTAATAAAAGAAAAATAAATAGATCAAGTCTTGTTTTCTCGCGTATTTCTAGGTGTATGACAGCAAGGATTTATTATTGAATATTAATAATGTAGCGTTCTAGTGTTCACTGAGACTAGTCTATACAATTGAAGTACTCAGAAAATGTGTGTAAACTTCGATCTAAACCTATATACGTATGGAGTTTGAAGAAACCTTTTTATTTCTTCTCTGAAAGTTAGACTAGTCAAATACTGTGTATGCGTTAATTTTCAAATCTAAATATGAGTTTTGTTTTTTGAAGGTTTGGATTGTTAAGTAGCGCTTATTCAAATCTCAATTGACATGTGAATTCTTTCAAGGCTTTGATTTTGAAGATTATCTTGAGCCCATAAGCCAAGCAATCATCGAAAGCTCGAGGGGACATATGTGAAGATTTCTTGACAGTTTTATTTTTAATATCAAACGGTTTACTCTAAAGAAAAAAACTTGTCTAGTCGAAAATATTGAAATATTCTACTTGAATAGTTGAAAACATGATATAATTGATCAAAGAGAAATGTTATTTATATTAAAAAGATGCTCTCAGTGTTTGCATGTACTTCCAAAATTTTTAATAGTAAAAATAGCTAGTATGTCATAAAGGAAATTATGTCGACAAACTGATACTACCATACGATTTCTATTTTAAGATACAAAAACAAAATTTCTTGCTAGCAAGTTTAAATATAAAAAAAGGCCATTCAAATGATTCCGATAGTTTTTTCTACTGAATCGAAAGAAGAAATTTGTTCGTCTGTTAATCATAGAATAGATATTATGGTTTTTATTTTATTTTCAAACGATAGGAAACACTTATTCACATATTACAATACATAGATATGCAGAGCGGATGAAAACAAAAGTGCACTATCAAAAGATATAAACACAAAGAGTATGTCAACGATGTCTATAATGCTCACAAAAACAAAAATGTGCTATTCATTTTCAGTCATTCATCGTTCTTTGTATCCCAGAATAGAGCTCTCATCAATCAATCGGATATTATAGAGAAACCATTCAAGAACTTAGCCCACGCAAAAAAGAAGCAGAATTGTTTACTCGATTACAGTGGCAAAAAAATGACCTTATTACTATATTAATTTGTTTTTTTTGCCCTTACGAATCATTGAAATGCTAGCTGTCACACGCCTAATTGTGATATGAAATCCGAGTTTTCTTTTGACGCTTTTATGCAACTAACCTGTTCGAAATCAAGATTAAGATTGCTCAGATTATTCATGTTCGCTTCTTCGCCTTCCTGTATTGTTTGTTGGTTAGGAGGAATTTGTTCAATATCTGAATTTCCATCCGTATCATTCAAGTCTTCTACTTTTTGAACATCCGACGCCATTGAACCTTGTGGAACATTAATTATTTGTTCAGTACTTGGTATATCTTCGATGTTGACAAATTGATTTTTGACTTCATCCTTATTAGAATCCGTTAAATCATTTTGTACGTGTGCCTATTGAAAGAGAATGATTCCTCGTTAGTTTTTAATTTAAAATATTTTACTAAATTTGATGGTGTTGCAAGAAGTTTTTTTAATTGATTTCGCTCATTTTTTGATCGATTGACTGGAAGCATTCGTTGTTTAGGTACTGAATGTTTTAGCTTATCAATATGACATCGAATTTGATAATCTAAAGGTAATTCTTCTTCTTTATATTCCTAAAACAATTCATTTAATTCATTAAATATTATTATTATTTCCAATCTTTATACTCGATCAGCAAAAAATACACGCCGAATACGACAATTTGCATGAATCTATAGTTTTTTTTAAGACTTATTCTTGTTTGTCTAACTGAAAATTCTTTTTTTTCCTACTGTGATTCGTCGACATTCAACATAATTTGTTCCGTAAACTGTTTTCGTAAATGATTCAAGATTAAGTGTTAAACGATTCCAGCCTTCAATCCAATTTAATGGTGAATGCGTACCAAATGGGCCAATTTTAGTTTTACTTGCAAATGTTGAAATTTTAAAACGTCGATGCATATTTTTACCATCTAAAACCTTGAAAATTAAAAGAATAGCAAAATAAAACAACAATCTTTCATTTAATTAGGAACTAATATTCACTTCGATTTCCATAACAAAATAGCGACGTAAATTTTTTACATATAAATTTAAATATTGCATTTTAATACCAAGTGAGTCATATGGACAACATGGACATGTCACATAAGTTGCACTAAAAACGATTTCTATACATAAACTTAATTAGAACAACAGTTTTCTACCTAACATTATTTGAAATAAGTTCAAGTACAAGTGAATTCGTATCGTCATCAGTAATTCGTTTAATATATCCATTTGATGCTTTACATATCCAAGTTTGAAATGGCTTTGATCCTTGACTTGAGAGTATAGATAAAAGACCTGATTGATATGTTTGACGAAACATGTATAGAATGCTGAACAATATGATTCATCGTTTGTCTAGATAATTGGATTTGATATTCTATGAATATACTAGTAGACACTTGTTTTCTTTTTCTTTTCTCTTGTTTTGTGTCAACTAAAACTTGTTCATTATATTTCGATATATGTTGTGCTCATTATTGTTATTTACAATAAAAACGAGACACGAATAATAAGCCCTGATGATCAATGTCTCTTTCTCTTTTCTTTTCTTTTTTTTTGTCTTTTTATCACTTTTGCTCTGTTTTTCAGGTGATTTTGTTTGTCATTGCGTTCTTGATGCTGTCGTCTATGGATGATTACTGTCTCCGTCTTTGTCTTTTGTGTCTATATATATATATATATATATATATATATATATATGCATACATATATGTACACACATGTTATTTCTTATTCAAGATTAAGCCGCAACAGTAATCTATTTTATGCATGACAGAAATCAAGTTTTACGCGCGTGTATAACAACAATCTGTAAGCGAACTTAGTAACCAGATTTTGTTTAATACAATGTATGCTTTACTCATTTGACATTCAACAACGTTATCATATTGAGTAAGTGTGTGTGTGTGTGTCGTTCTTCTTTTCTACGTTAAGATGTGACAATATATCAATGTTGTTATCTAACCATAGTTTTTATTTTTTTTATTTGTTCAATCGTCATCATAATTGATCTTCTCTTTACCATCAAGCACAAATTCTATTGTCGTCACACACACACACATATATATATATATATATAGTATAGTCCTTCTTCAGCCGATGGTTTTAATTGCATCAACGAAATTTACTCGAAGATTGTCTCGTTCTTTCTCTCTCTCGCTCTCTCGGCTCATTGTCCGTTGAGTAGGCATAGACATAAAAACTGATGGACAATGGTACATTTTTTATTCTCGATTGATGATGACTCGTTAGAATAGTATTCTTGTCGTTCGTTCCTAATTGGAATAATAGATGAAATATTGCACATTGCATTTCCTGTTGTAAGATTCTGCTTCGTTCATTTTCAATCATCCTCTTTTTTTTCTCATTATTGATTGTTGTTTTCTATCGGAGGGGAAAAAACCCATTAATAGCATATAGGTGCGATGTTTAATATAGTTCTCGTTTATAATATTATTTTTTCTCGCTAATCGAACGCAACTTCATTATTAACAAATGAGAAACATAGTAATAAAAAAAACTATCGGGATAGAAATTTCTTTGTTATCTTTACTCTGATAATTGATAATAGGATCTAGCGGGCTTTATTTAGAAGTGTCAAATAATCTTTAGTTACAGTCGATATATGGAACGAGATGGAATTCATATATCTAGTTTTCTTTTTCTTGCCTCTCCTCGTTTCTAGTTTTTTCTTAATCCTTTTTGCGACCTTCTTATTTCCGTTCGATTCCTTCATTCAATTGACGTAGGGTGAGGAAGATCGCGCGATGGGCCGAGGTCTTTACCCAATGTTGGTCGTCGAAGCAATATATATATATATATATGTAAGAATCGACAAATCACTCGCGCCAACGACAATTGCACGTCGTTGTGTTGTGCTTTAGTTGGATGACGTCTTTTTTTCTTCTCTTCTTCGTTCGCTTTGTAAAAAAGCACGTAGAATAAGTATGTGGGCGTAAGTAGGGAACGGAAAACTCAAAAAACATGTGTGGTATGAATGAAGAAAAAGAGACTCGGCTTCTTCCTCTTCTTCGTCAAAAACATCATGCTAATATACGGCGTTTGGAAGAAGAAAAAACGAAGAAGAAAAAACACAATCGTCTTTTTATCTTCAAAAACATTCTATTCATAAAAATAGTAGAACATTGAAACATTATCCTATATATAATGTCATGTTCAGAGGAGAGAAAAACGATGCGAAAGAAGGAAAACGTTTTATTGTTGTTTTCTTTTTTTTCTCTTTTGTTCATGCAAAGAGAAAAAGAAAAAGAAAATAATCATAATCGTTGTTGCATGTGTGACAAAAGAGAGAAAACAGGATGTGAAAATGACAAAAAAAAATATATAGAAAAGACGGCAAATACTATAGAACATCATGAGGAAACAAGAAGAAAAGTAGTTGTAGTGAATAAATAGCGCCTTGCGTTTCTCTTCGATATATATATATATATTCGATGTCGATCTTTTCTTCCTATTTTACCAACATTACTCGCATATATTTTATATATTTATACGTGTATTGTCCATTTATATATTCATCGTCATAAGACTAATAAAAAAAGCGGAAAAAGAAGAGTAACTCCAACTACTACTAATGATCAACGAACAACAGCTCAAGAATAACATCTAAGATTTTGTGCCAATAAGGTTTCCATTACTCGTATTTTTTTTCGTATTCAAAACAAAATACAGAAAAGTAAGTCAACTCAAGTTTTTTTCCTTCTTTCACAGCTAGAAAAAAAAATAATAAAAGAAAGAAATATCGCGCCCACACACATTTTATATATTTGCCAAGGCTAAAAGAATAACTGCAGCTGCTGTCACTATTACATCGAATAGTGCTGCTATCGATCTTTTATTTTGTCCATATCTTTTCGTAGTATGTTGATAAAATCAGTATGAGTAACAAAAGAATACGAACAAAAACTTATAATGTTGATGATGATATCCCTTAATTGAGACTATGTCGGTCTTGTACTATTAGCTTTTCTTTTTTTTTCCTCAACTCTTATCGTCATCGTCTTTACTAATCATCAATGTAGTCATTCAAATGAAAAGAGAGGAAAAGAACAACACAATATAGCCCATCGACGTCAGCCTTTCTAATTCAATTTCGATCAATTATTTATCCCTTTCGAGACGTCAGTTCGTTGAAAGAAGCCTGTGGGTATACCGATGGTACTGTTCGCAAAACAAAGACAACAGGTGTGGGCATATGAGACAGAATAAAAACTAATCTCATGTTCTCTCCTTTTTTTCTCTTCTTCTACTTCTTTATTTTTTACTAATACCGATTGACAACAAAACATTTCTTGTTTAGTATACAATGCAATTTGAAGTATCCGTTGCACTAAATTTTCTTATTGCTTATCTTTATAATAAATTACCACGTCGGTAAGTTAACTTTTGGTTTTATTTTTAAACATCTCTTAAATATCATCTATTTTGTTAGTCGAGTAAATATGCTTGGCGAACAAATGCTCGAACATTTACGTATCAAATTTCAAGGACACTGGTATCCAGAAAGACCCACAAAAGGTTCAGCATATAGATCGATACGCATAAGTAAAGAGAAAGTTGATAAAGTTCTTATCAATGCTGCGAATGATGTTGGTTTGGATTTACAAGAAATACTTGATACATTACCGAATGATCTTACTATTTGGATAGATCCAGGCGAAGTTTCTTATCGTATCGGTGAAAAAGGACCAGGTAGATTTACATTTGTGTGTGCTCAATAAAATTCTATTTATTATTTTGTTTCAGTTAAAATTTTATACGAAGATGAACGACGTTTACTTCGAAAAAATACTAATAAAGATAGTCTAAACAGTGAATCATCGAGTGATAGTGAAGAACGTGAAGGACCATCATCTAATCAAGGTAATCGTTTTTCGCAAAAAAAAACAATAACAACATGATAAGAAAATAATTTTGTTTTTTCTCCTATTTAATAGATTCTGATGTTCCTATCCGTCCGTTTAATCCCGATGCGCAAATATTTCGACCAATACCTGATAATTTTGATACAATATCTGTACTTTCAAATTCTATAAATAGTCTCATAAGTTTATCACCAACATCTTCGAATAATACAAATTTGAATTCGTCAAGCGGTTCATCATCATCAATTCTTGGTACAAGTACAAATGCACCGTCATGGACATCCGCTGAACCAGCTGTAGTACCAACATTATCATCGCCAACCGTTGCTACAAGCCCGAGTACTGCTTTTCTAAATAAGACAATATCGACACCTGTTTTTTCACCACAAACATTTGCTCAAACAAAATTTGGTTCATTAAAATCTAAACATGTTGGAAAACGGAATCAATCAAAGTAAACCTTTGAGATTTTTAATTATTATTTAAATTTTTAACTATTCCTTTAGAATGTTGCCAAGTGAATTTTCTGCTTATATCAAACAAAAAGAACAAATACAACAATCAAGAGTTTTACCAATGCCATTTATTGATAATAATAACAGTTTTATTCCAGCAACTTCATCAGCTATAATTCGACCACCAAACTATAGAAATCATTTTAATCCACATATAACACATTCACAATTAAATTCTGCATCTATGTTTAACAATGATTTACCTTTAAGACCGAATACACTACCATTAACAGTTGGTCAATCATCGATTTTTACTGAACAACAAATGACAAGTTCAACATCTTAAAACTATATAGCTATCTTTCGTTTCTTTTGTTATATTTATTTATTTACTTATTTATTTTAATCGTTGTTTTTTTTTCTTTTCTTTTTTCTTTTTGGTTATATGGTCTCGGTTTTGTACTTTTTTCGTATTTTATCTTATTACTATTATTATATAATTTATTAATCGATGTTTTTTTCTCTTTTGTTTTGTTTTGTTTTGTTGTATTTGTTTTGTGTTATTTTATCATCATCCGCAAAATGACAGAACAGTTTCATTCCTTAAGTTTTTCCCCGTTCCCTAAAATTTTTCCATGTATATAGAGAATACAATATATTGTTCCACATTCCAATAAGGTGAATAATAATCTATGTTGTAGACGTTTATCATCACCAGTAAATAGTTTTATTTTGTCAAAAAAAAAAGAAAAAAAAACATTTAATATATGTTCTTGCTATTTTGTTTTTATCGATAGGATATGTATGATTAATCGTTTGCTTCAACATTTCGAAAAAGATAACTCATAGATTCTTGATTATGTATGCGGCGAATCGCTTCTGATAATAAAAGACTTATATCAACAGTTTTGATTTTAGTGCATTGAAGTTTAGCAAATTCGTGTGGAACCGTATTTGTAACAACAACTTCAGATATTTGA